TACCTGCTAGAAACTGGAGTGACTAAAAAATATATTAGGAAGTTTGAGAAATCTGTCCAGCTCATAATGACCCCCCTATCCTCTAAGAAGTATACCCTCAGCCACTCCAGGCCATATTTTACCTTATACCCCTGCCCTCCTGGTCCTAATTCTCTGTGCTAGGAAAGGAAAGTAACCAACCTGAGCCAATCAGACTCTTCACTTGGGAGTTTGGGATTCAAAATAGCCTTTTCCCTGGGTGTGGCTGAAACTGAGGTCCTATAAACTGGGAAATTAATGGGGTAACTGCTATTCTGCTGTGAACAGAAAAAAGATGATATAACAGGGTCATGGAGAAGCATGCAGTTAAGAGAGAGCACTAAGGGTGCTTGGGCCATGGGGAGCCCTCTGTCTGAAGGCCTGTCCTCTTCAGAGCCTGCCCCCTGCAGGCCCCATTGTCCCTTGTTGTCTGTCAGCCCATTATCATTCTAATAATCCTCTATTTTCCTTAAGACAGACCAAGTAGATTGCTTTATTTGTAGCTAAAAATACTTTCACAAAGACAACAATAAAATTGCTCAACAATAGGGACACTAAGAACACTGAAGAGACCAGCAATATCAAAACCATAATCATGGAAATAATTACCAGAAAATTTCCCAGAATTGAAACCTAATCAAATATATCCTGAGAGAATCTAGAAGTACATTCTGAACTAATTATCAAAGGAGCGGACCTAGGAAATGCTAATCAAGGTTATAAATTTTAGAGCCAAGATAAAATTTTAAATCTTGCCTCACTGATTCGTTGCATAGTTTCATAATCAGTTATCCACAATCCCAAAGTGTGGAAGAGCAGAATTTTTAAATGAATTGTATGTCAAAATTCAACAAAATCTGACTTGAACTGAAATGAGGCTATTTATTGTCTTTATTTATTATACTTTATGTAAATATTCATGTTTCACTGCATAAATATTAATGCTTGGATACCAGGGTGCTGGCCCTGAACCTCCCAGGGCGTGTTACATTACATACAATTCAGTATGTATACTCAATTGCTTTTCTAAAATACAAATAAAAAATATCTGAATTTTGAAAGATATCTGAAACCAGAAAGTTCATACAGGAACTGTGGACCTCTATGGATCAACTGACCAATCTTGAGTTAGTTCTAGTGTATTGTGAGGTGAAGGCGCTTACACATTGGAGAATTATCTCTTTGCCAGATAGATATGATTGTGACCATGGCCCTTATTTACTTTTCTTCACTGCTGTGCCACCTCTTGCATCTCTTTGGATCACTTAGGGCTCTCCTCTTACCCAAAGCCAGGTCTGTGAGGACACCCCATCCTCACACAGGTGCACCCCACCAGGAGATTCTCCATCGGTGCTGCTACATGGCCCTTGGCATGTGCCAGACTGACACTGTGCAAGTCAGCATGCCACAGAGAAGAACTCTGACCAATGGGCAATGGGAGCTAGCAGGTAAGTGTTCCTGCTGCCTCCCACTCAACCCCACAGACAGTCCTGAGATGCAATTCATGCTCCTTCTCAGACAATCCTTTGGAATGGAGCAACCAGCACCCCATGTGGTGGCCAGCACATTGATGCAGCCTGGTTTGGCTTGGTCTCTTCACTGGCTGCCTCCACACCACTCACTTCTCTTCCCCGGGGAACATAAAATTATAATAAATTTTGTTTGGAGCATAAATATTAATAAATAAATAAATAAAATGAAAGTTTCACAGTAATCGATTTTTTTAAAAGTCCACTATAGTTAGAGATGTGACTTTAAATTTTATAAGTATCATTCTTAGTACAAAGACCATTGCCAAATGCTACCAAAATTGCACGTAAGCTCTCATATAATTCCAGTTTTTAAAATGACTGCAATGTTCTTTTAAGGCAGGATCTCAAATAAAATTAGGAACAAAATAAGCTGTGAACACCCAAAATACTTTTCTAACAGAAGCCTTTGCCCATAAAACACCAGTTTTATTGTATTAGTTTAATTACCAGTGGTGACTACCTAACATTCTTGTAGTGATTAAAGGTTCACAATGTTAAAATTATATTACGTCTGTGTTATAATCAAAAATAATTACACTGCAACAATTTCTAAATGTAATCCACCAAATGCAATCGAAATTCATGACATTGCTACCACTCCAGCTTTGGCATTCTTCATTGCTTCAGAGATTCTAAGTGTATCAGCTCTCAGGTGTGGATAAATAACACCTGCCAGTGAAGAACCAAGCCCAGGCTGCCTGGCAAGTTGGATTTGAGATTCTTTAGGGAAAAAAATTCCAAAGGCTGTGAACACATAACATAAAGCTGGACACCCAGTCAAAACCATGTACCTCATGTACTATTTTTGAGACCCTAGAATTGTAGCTTCTTTACATAAGACAGAAAGGGGAAATGGGAAGAAAAGGGTTTCTGACAGCATCTGGGACCCCAAGCAATGATGTGATGTGAATAATGAAGCTGGCCACATTATCCATCTTACTAATTTAAGAGTCTTTGCTTCCTACAGCAGTTAACATTCCTCAAATTTTGCAGTAAAGCACGTTTTTATAAAAATTAAGATAAAATAAGATGTTTTAAGCATCTTAGCAGGGCTCACTTTTGAAGAAAAAATATGGGTTAAGCTTTGGTTAAAGAGAAGACTCCCTGACATCACCTAAAATGAACCTTTCTCATAAACCTATGCTTTCATGTGGGGTGGGCTTTGGAAGAGGTTTTTACTTTGTTTTATTTTTTAATTTTTTATTGTTTTTTTCCAGAATATTACACAGGTACAAATGTTTAGGCTACATATATCATCGCCTTAGCACCGCCAGAGTCACAGCTACAAGTGTGCCTATCCCCCAGATGGTGCACACTGCACCCATTCGGTGTGTATATACCATCCCTTCCTCCCCACCCACCTGCACAACACCCGATGAATGTTACTACCATATGTGCACATAAATGTTGATCAGTTAGTACCAATTTGATGGTTAAGTACATATAATGCTTGTTTTTTCCATTCTTGTGATACTTCACTTAGGAGAATGGGCTCCAGCTCCATCCAGGATAATACAAGAGGTGCTAGATCACCATTATTTTTGTGGTTGAGTAGAACTCCATGGTATACACATACCAAATTTTATTAATCCACTCATGTATTGATGGGCGTTTGGGTTGTTTGCACATCCTTGCAATTGTGAATTGTAATGTTATAAACATTCGAGTGCAGATGTTTTTATTATAGAATGCCTTTTTTTCCTTTCAGTAGATGCCCAGTAATGGGATTGCTAGATCAAATGGTAGTTCTACTTGTAGCTCTTTGAGGTATCCCTATATTAGTTTCCATAGAGGTTGTACTAGTTTGCAGTCCTACCAGCAGTGTATGAATGTCCCTATCTCTCCGCATTCATGCCGACATTTGTTGTTTTGGGACTCTTTGATAAAAGCCTTTCTCACTAGAGTTAAGTGATATCTCATTGTGGTTTTGATTTGCATTTCCCTGATGATTAGAGACATTGAGCATTTTTTCATATGTTTTTTGGCCATTATTCTGTCTTCTTTTGAAAAGTTTCTGTTCATGTCTTTTGCCCACTTTTTAATGGGATTGTTTGATATTTTCTTGTTGATTTTCCTGAGTTTTATATAGATTCTAGTTATCAGCCCTTTATCGGATGTATAGCATGTGAATATTTTCTCTGATTCTGTAGGTTGTCTTTTTGTTCTGATGAGTTTCCTTGGCTGTGCAGAAGCTTTTTAATTTGATCAGGTCCCATTTATTCATTTTTGTTGTTGCTATGATTGCCTTTGGGGTCTTCTTCATAAATTCTTTCCCTAGGCCAACGTCTATAAGAGTTTTTCCAACATTTTCTTCTTGAATTCTTGTAGTTTCATGCCTTAAGTTTAAGTCTGTTATCCATCATGAGTTGATTTTTGTGAGGGGTGAGAGGTGCAGATCCTGTTTCAGTCTTCTGCAAGTGGCTATCCAATTTTCCCAGCACCATTTATTGAATAAGGATTCTTTTCCCCAGTGTATGTTGTCCAAAATCAGATGGCTATATGAGAATGGTTTTATATTTGGGTTCTCAGTTCTGTTCCACTGGCCTATGTCTCTGTTCTTGTGCCAGTACCATGTTGTTTTGGTTACTATAGCCTTGTAGTATAGCTTGAAGTCTGGTAAATTGATGCCTCCCAATTTGTTCTTTTTGCTTAAGGTTGCTTTTATTGTATGGGGTCTTCTCGAGTTCCATACTTTTTGTTTTAAATAATGACACCAATAGAGATAACTGTGAGTTTTTGATACAAAAACTCAAAGGGAAGTTGAGAATGTCTATGGAAAGTGGAGGATGTCAAAGGTTGATACTGTTGGTGGCAAGCTCCATCTAAAGGAGAGCCATGTCTCAGGTGGGGACCTGCCCAGCCTCGACACAGGGTTGGAGAGAGAGGAGGGGTATGAGAGCTGTAGCACAGCAAAATGAGAGAGAAGACACTGGCAGGAGAGCATGGGAAAGAGAATTTGCTGCGTGGGGAAAACATGTGCTGGACACACTGTCAGACAAGGAGAGTGGGCCTGTGCAGAGCTCTTGCAATTCTCCAGGCCCTCACAGAGTATCATTTAATCGATTTAATCATTATGCGGAGCTGCACAGAAGGCACACCTGGCCTTGCTAATGGGACTTTCTGTGTCTTCTGGGAACATTTTAAAGATGTTGGACCCTGGAGGTGCTGAGGACCCATGGCACTGAGTTGGCAGGGGATGGAGATACACACATCTCCCCCTCTTCCTCCTTCCTCCTCCCCCACAAAGGAAACAAAAAGTAAAGCCTTGCTTCTTTCCACCTGCTGCGTGTGGCGGCCACCCTCCATCTTGGCCCTCTCTGGCCTCCTCACCAGCACAGCTGCTCGTGAGCAATGCCAGTGTCTGGGAACACACTCTGAAACCTCCCTATCCAGACTGTTTTATCAATTACAAAGCCTATCAACAAAAGCTAACAAAAAAAGTAGACTCACCAAGATCCAAATGAATGCCAGGGACAAATGAATTGAGAAAGAAGGTGAAGATAACAAATCCCAACACCATCAGGCATTTGGCAAGCAGAATCCTGTCTGATATCCTGTGCTGTCAGAGAGAAGAACACAACTCATTTACTCAGTACAACCTTCTGACTCCTGCAACATGTCCATAATCCTACGTGACTCGAATCACTACACTTTTTTTTTTTTTTTTTTGAGACAGAGTCTCACTTTGTTGTCCAGGCTAGAGTGAGTGCCGTGGCGTCAGCCTAGCTCACAGCAACCTCAAACTCCTGGGCTTGAGTGATCCTTCTGCCTCAGCCCCCCGAGTAGCTGGGACTACAGGCATGCGCCACCATGCCCGGCTAATTTTATATATATATATCAGTTGGCCAATTAATTTCTTTCTATTTACAGTAGAGACGGGGTCTCGCTCTTGCTCAGGCTGGTTTTGAACTCCTGACCTCGAGCAATCCGCCCGCCTCGGCCTCCCAAGAGCTAGGATTACAGGCGTGAGCCACAGCGCCCGGCCGAATCACTACACTTTTGATGATGAAAAATATAACATCTCAAACTTGAAAAAGAAGATAACAAGGTAATTGTTACAAGGAAAACTGTATAGATTCAGGATTTTAGCATTCAGAATCTTTATGAAAAATAATCACAAATGATATAAAATGCAGTACAACTCTTTTACACAACATCTGACTAAATGGTGGGATTAAGACCACTGGGACTTAGGGATGCTATGTCTGAGGCTGTGAAAGGATAGGAGGTGAAGGAATTGCCTGAGCAGAAGCCTGAAATAAGTGCAGATGTTAACTGCCTAGTTTGGGGACATATATCAGTGACCTGGGAGTACAGCAAAGCATGCTCCAACCTCAGAGCCTAAGGGGTCTCATGCATGAAAAGCCTGACATGAAAACATCTCATGGCTGTAGAAGTTGATTGTAATATGTCAGCCCGGGAGAAGGGTCTCAAGGCTTCCATGGTATTTGAACACTGGGCCAAGTTCCTTCTCTCCCTTTCTCTCAATGCCTCAGTTAATGTAAAACCAGGCTCCCAGTGGAAAGCTTGTAGTTTCTTTGCTCCTTTGGTCGCAGCTACTGAAGTTAAAGATTGATATCCATGTACATAGCTTGAGCATGCGATAAAACGAGTTTACCTTGATCAAAAGGGTTGTACCTACTGAAGAATTATGTGGTTTTCACTTTTAGAAAGGAGAAGGAAATTAGCTAGCACGTGTTGTGATTTTGTGGGGGAGCCTTGAAACCTTTGATCATTGTATCCTATGGTTTTTTCACATGAGATCATTGTACTTTGCTATATGGCAAAGAGAATAAAAAGCAAGTACTGGGGTTCAGTCATTGTCACCTTGGCATGGGAGTGCTGGTGGTCCCCTGACCTCCCCACTTTCTTAAATATTATTTCTGTGTCTGTGTCTTTCTTTCTCATCTCTTGCAACACAGTCTGCCAGGGGACCCTATCTTTATCGGGGACGTTGTGAACCTCCAATAACTAAACAGCTTTTCAATAGAATGTGGAGATTGTCGAGCTGCTCCCAACCCTGCCCCAGCAGTAGATGAGATGACATGTGCATTTCCACAGGTGCTGAATGGTCACAGTACTTTAAGTTCAGCTTCCCTTCCCTATTATGCAAAGCCAGGCTCACAGTGACAATGAGGTTCAAACATTCTCACAACACCATGACCGCCACATGAGGCTGTGCTCTTTCATGCAATGCTCACAAGGACCCTGGAATGCAGGTGGTGCCCACCCCCCGCCCCCCCGTAGCTGGAATGACACCGTGATTCCTAGACACTCGGGAAGAGGAGAGCACTGAAGGCACACCGTCCTCTGCAGCACCTCAACCACCCTAGCTGCTGCCACCAAAAACACAAGCATACCCCTGCGTGTCGCTCAGCCACCCTGCGGGACTGCCTGCTGGGCATCTGTCCTCCTTCCTGCTCCCTGCAAAGGCTCCTAGCTCATCTTCCCCTGCCCACCTCCAAGGAAGGCCAATTTTGCTACATGTTTCTGCACTGAAGAATTAGGAGCAAAGGGTCATGACCAGAAAAAATCAAGCACTCAGAAAAGAGTGATGTGGGTTCTCGCCAGGTGCCAGGGGAGGCACCACAAACCTTCCCTGAGGGCACACGAGCCCTAGAAAGTGGGCCCTGTCACAGCCAGCTCAAAGACTGGAGACGGAGGAGCAGGTAGGTGAGGAGTGTTCCAGCACTACTCAGCTGGTGCACATGGCGGTTTCTTTTGGGTGTCTGTCAGAGTTGCTCCTTTTGGCTATCTAGGGTCATTTCCGTAGTAATTCTTGGACACAATAAAGGGATATTTCCAAGCTCTTGCCTCTGCCTTTCATCTCTCCCCAGTCCTCGCCCACCAGGTGCATGGAGTGGTTCACAGTCTCTTCTCTAGCTCCTGGTTAAAACAACGCAGTCCAGCAGAGCGAGCAGGGTCCATATACATGTGGTGCCCACAAGGGTGTCCTAGCTATACCCTTCTTCTCTAACCCTGACCACTGTATGGGACTGAGCGTGTGAACACAGCCCACAAGCCCAAAGCCCTTAAAGAACATGTTACCCACCAGGAACCCAACACCTAAATCTCCTTCAGCAAAGGACAAAATTTTTCTGTCATAATTAGAGAGTTTCTATCATAATTTCTATCATAATCCCTCCCTAGAAAATAAACTACATGGATTTGAAATTTCACTGAGATGCAAACGACCTATAGCACATCTTGAGCAGAGCTCTCCCGGCTGGGAGAGGGGCCCTATGTCTCCACAGATGGGCTGAGAAAGTCTGCCATGGCAAGAAAATGAATGAAAAAAAACAAAGTGAGCTCTGCCCCCAGAAGTCAGAGCTGTCGGCAGGACACATACACGTCCTGTGTCTGTCCCCAAAGCTGTTCGGTCACACGCAGCATGCCTCACAGGTCTCAGCTGCCGTCACCTCTCTGCAAGATGAGAATCTGCAGTCCTGCCTTTCAGGGACAGGAGGGGGCTGGGGAGTCAGTGGCACCAGCACGGAGGACGGGCCCTACGTGTCTCTCTAGGGCATGCGTGAAGGGCATCTCAAAGGTCATACTAAAGTTAACTTCAATTTCCTGACAGAATAAGCCTACCATGCCTGGAAAACATTCCCCCCCACCCCCCACCCGTCCCATTAACTCGTAGAAATAAACAACGTCTTGTGAACAACGACAAGAATACAGAGAGAAACGGTTTTCAGTCATCGCCTCACGTGAGGTAAAGCCAAGGAGTCAATGCTGTCTCCTTCAAGAGGGAGTCGGAAATCTCTGGGAAAAGAAACCGCCGTACCTTTTTTTGTAGTTCCTGGATATTGGTCTCCCAATTTTTGTCTTCCTGTGAGATCTGTCTAAGAAAAAGGACAGGCCCATTATTTCCCCGACGCAGCCACGTGAGGGGCAGACTTGTCGTGGGAGTGAGGTGGGGCTCGGAGTGCTGACTGGGAAAGATGCTCACTCTGCATTTCCACAGAAAAACGATACATAAAATGATCCAAATGTCAAAAGATGTGTGAGGATGTGCATGTGAGAGACTGCCTTTAGGACTCGTCATGAGGAACCTACGCCAACATATGAACAAGGGCAGGTCTCTCTGACTTTCCTCTTTATACATACTTTCTACTTCCCTAAACTTCTTTGTTTCCAATGAGGGCATTATACCTTTACATTTACAACTAACTAAAGGAAAAAACAGTAAAAGAAATGCCACTTGCTTTAAAATTGATCAATTTTGAGGGCACTTTATGTCCGCATCCTCCCTGCTGTGATGGTTTCCTCCCACCCCTGTTTCAGGCCCTTCATTCACTCCCACTGGCCCATCCTTTCCCACCTTTCCAACTCGGCCCAGCCTTTCTGGTTTATTTTGTCCCACAGCAATCAGGGAAAGAAAGTGCACAGTAGAGAAAGTGGTTTCAGAGAGTGTCAGTCACAGGAGACTGGCCATGCAGCCCGTACAGGCCCTAAAGGAAATCACAGCAGCCCAGCTGCATGATTCCGAGGATAATCCTTAAAAAGAGAATGTAAAACCAGGACCTGCACAGCTAGAACATGCCTTAGGTTGCCTTCATTCTAATCTGCTCCTCAGTAACCATGTGGCCTTAGGAAGCCACCATCCTCCTCAGGCCTCAGTTTCCCCACCTGTGACCAACAAAGGATGAGCGGAGGGGAACGTGGTGAATTTTGGAGCCCACATTTCTTCAGTTTGTAGCCCTAAGATACATTGGGTGTATATTTCACACCCAATGCCAGAATGATTTACTCCCACGTCTTTAATTTATGAAGTGTCTCCTTTAAGACCTATACCTGCTGTTGAAGTTGGTCATTCCTTCCCCAGCCTACAGCCTGGGGACACAGTGCTGCCTCTCCAGCGTCACTGGCTAGAGCTGGGTCCCGGACTGGGGATGAGGCTGGTGGCTGCTGCACCCCTGAATTGTGTGCATCTCTGTGTGGCAGCCTGTTCCCTTCTCCCCCAACGAACAGACCAGACCTCAAGACAGCCATGCAGGGCAACCCTCAGGGGTCAGCCGGTCTCAGCAAACTGCAACATGTAAGACCACTCTCGATTTTGATCATGGGGGTCCACAGTACCCTTGCCCTGATAGACTTGTCATCTCCACTCACTTCCCAGATTAGTTGTAGGAAAGCTTCAACACCCCTCAGGGGTTGACAGGCTCCTGCTTTTCCTGTCTGTCAGAGCTTCCAGAGTGAAGATAAATTGGAACTCAGTACCTTGTCATGCATGACCAGGAGGAAAAACTCACCAATTCATGGTTACCCTGTATGTCTCAGCTTTGATTAAAATTGAATGCCAGGCTGAGGCAAAAGGATCACTTGAGCCAACAAGTTTGAGGTTGCAGTGAGCTATGATGACGCCACTGCACTCTAGCCAGGGCGACATAGTGAGACTCTGTCTCAAAGGAAAAAAAATTAATGTCAGGAAATGGATTGAGTAGGACTTTAGTATTCTTGGGGGTGGCTGAAAATCAACTCCTTAGAGAACATTTTGTCAGATTAGTTTGCTACCTTAATTGTTTTTTATCTTTATTATGCAATAATTGCAAGGTGGGGCGATGGGGCAGCTTAGCAGCTAAGAGTGTGAGCTCAGTCCCCAGTGTCACTCTTTCTGAGCTCCAGAACCCTGAACAAGTTGCTCAAACTCTCTAAGCCTCTGTTTTTGTCCTTAAACTAGTCTAATGCCAGTATACACCCTGCAGAGCCAAGTGAGAGTTAGATAAGATTTACCAGAAAAGGCTTAGCACAGCTGGTGACCCCTGAAAATAACTCATTAGTATGCAGCTAGTGTCACTACTTTGCAGTGCAGCAATTTCAACTCACTTCATTTGTACACTGTGTGACATTTGGACGTCACTGGGGTGGTAGTGGAATAGGTTGTTCACGCAATCCCACCAGTAAGCACAACCGCTAAAGATGAGACCCGCTGCTGGGAATCGAGCACGGTCTGAGCAGGACCCCGCTTGGTACCTGTGGAAGGTGCGCAGCCTTCGGTCGAGCAGGTGCTCCAGCGCCAGCACCTTCCCCAGCAGCAGGCCCCGCACAGCTGTCTCCTCACGACTGGCCGGGCTGATGCGCTGAGCAGTCAGGCGCCAGACATGGATCTCGTGCTTCAGCTCTACAGAGAAAGGAAGGCGAAGCTTGAGTCTCCCATGACCTCAGACATCAGTGACAGTCCCCTCTGTTCACCACACACACGCGACACGGCAGACACACACCCTCGATGTGCAGGTAGCCCACGGTCACCCACAGCCATGGCACATGAGTGATTGTAATGGAACCAAATGACAAAGCTGACATTTAAAAATTACCATGGAAGCAAAGTAACACAACTTCAACTCTTCGAGTGAAGAATAAATTCTTTTCTTGAACAAATATGTCAAAACTAGCACCCCAACACCATCCCCCACTTGCAGGAAGTGGTTCAGGTCCACCTTTAGCCAAAATCCAGACATTGCCCAATCTTTGAGGAATTTTAGGAGCAGATCTAGTGAAAATCAGAAATACAAGTGTAATTCTCAGGAGGTGGTGCTCAGGGCTCTCCAGTAGTTAAGAGGCTGGAGACAGAGAAGCCTTCCCTTCCAACCACGCCATGCTGAGCTCGAGTCTACGACACAGGAGGGGGGGGGGAGGTAGACCAGCAGTCCCCAACCTTTTTGGCACCAGGGACCAGTTTCATGGAAGACAATTTTTCCATGGACCAGGGCTGGGGGGAGTTGGTGGGGAACAGTGGGGATGGTTTCAGGATGATTCAAACGCATTGCATTTATTGTGCACTTTATTTCGATTATTATTACATTGCAATATATAATGAAATAATTATACAACTCACCATAACACAGAATCAGTGGGAGCCCTGAGCTTGTTTTCCTGCATGTAGACGGTCCCGTGTGGGCGTGATGGGAGACAGTGACGCCCAAAGTGTGTTGCTTATGCCCACTCTATTCTATAATCTCATTTTGGTTGCTGTCACTGCAGAAAATCCTGCTCCACAAACATAGGATGTTGGGAATTGAAGCAGGCTTTTCAGATCTTTTGTGGCAATCTGAGGATATTCCTCCTTGACTTTAATCCAGAATGTATGGAGATTTGAAGTTGTCTCAAATATACTTTTGAGGCCACTGTCATTTGTGATCTCAAGCAATTAGTTGAGATGGTCTAGCACGGACAACATCAATTCACCTGGCCTATTCACAAATGAGTCACAGATCCATTCCTTCCCAGTCTGGGAGTCTTTGTGGTTGGGAAGTAATACTCAAACTCTTTTGAAAGCTGAGATAGGTGATCATGCACCAGCTGGGAGAAGGAAGGCCCTGGCTCAGTCTCTTTCAAAATCTCTGCTAATATTTGAAACATGTCAAAAATCCCAATGTTCACTCATAGCCCCCATAATTCCAGTTTTTCTTTGAATGCAGACACTGCTGACTTGAACACAGTTGATCTCCTGAAGTAACAGACTGAGTTTGTTGAGCAGATTGAATATGCCACACAAGTAACCAAGTTTAGCAACCCATTCCATGTCACCAAAACATGCTGCCAGCGATGACTGTTTTTCTAAAAGGAATCTCTGGAGTGGCTCTCATAACTCAAAAACTCTGGCCAGTGATCTACCTTTAGAGAGCCGTCTCACTTCTGTGTATAAGAGAAGACGTGTGTGCTCTGTGTCTGCCACCTCACAGAACTGTGTGCAAACAGACATGAGTTAAGGGCATGTACTTTAATGTGGTTGATAATTTTAATCACACCCTGCTGTTTAGTTCAGGTGTTGAACTAAAATGCTGTTTAGTTCAGGTGATGGTTTAGCTAGCCAGCATTTCTCTATGGCTGACACAGTGCATAGACTCACATTCAGAAGCAAACTCTTTGACCCGAGTAGTGAAACAAGAAAGCTGTCCAGTCGTGGACATGAATATACTGACACAAAATGACCAATTCAATTTTCCTGATGTGTAGTCATTCAAAGACTTGACTAGTCCTGCAGCTGTTGTATTGGTTGGCAAGAAAAGTGCACGTAACATATCCTCATGCACATCCCCCTGAAAATTATACTGCACAAAAACAAGCCTTGTTGCCTTGTTGTCAGTATCGGTAGACTTGTCAACCTGGACTGTGTACCACAGTGACTCATTAATCCTCTCTAACAATTGTGCCTCCAGACCCGAGCCACACGGCAGGCGCCATATTGCCTCCTCCTCCCCTCCGCCGACCCTACCCCCGGCTGCCCAGAGAGACAATACAGCCACAAGCCAGAGGCACCTCCAGAGAATGGGACCTTCCCTTTTGGGACCCTACAGCTGACTCAGGGGAACTCAGACTGTGAGTTCCCTACCCGCCTGCCCTCCCAGGTGCTGCTGGCACGGTGTTCCCAGGAGAACGGTGCCAGACTAAGAGGCTGAGAGACATAGACCCAGCTTGGGCTCCCTGTGGGTGAATTGGGACCGGAAATCCTCTCCCTGGTGGGGATACAGTTTGAATTCTGGACCCAGAGGTCAGACCTGCAGACCAGATCCCCTGCACTGAGGGCTAGCATTGCCCAGGGCACAGACAGTTTATACGTGAACAGCCTACTGAGGTGTGTGTGCCTCCAAGGGCGGATCGGCATCCTAGAGGGCAACCTCCTCCCAAGAGGAGGCCGTGCGCCCAGCCCAGGTGGCGTTCCTGTGCAGGGAACCTCCCAGCCGGCATCACAGTCCAGGGAGGCCTGGTAACTTGTGGTCTGGCCTGCTGGCAGAGGCCCAGGATTAACTGCGGAGTTGGGGAGGGTGGAAAGAAGTGAGGCCCGCTCCAGACTGGGGGTCTCAGACAGCCCCACCCCCACACACAGACTTTCTGGCTGAGCGGGACCATTCCAGCCCCGCCCTGACAGCTTTTCCTGGAAGCAGACAACAGAACTTTGACCCCTGCTAACGGCCTAGGGCAGGCTTGCCCCCCCAGCTCCGCCCAGAACAAGAGCTGATAACAGCAAACAAAATCAAAAGCATAGCCTGTTCCTCCAAGCAAACGCCACCTACTGACAGGGACGGCATCTTGCACAGCCTTTCCACGGCACCCACTGACTCAATATACAGGGAGTGGTCCAATCTCACCCACAGACACCACCTAACGCCTCAGAAACTAAACAAGGTGTGTGATACCCAAACAATAATTTAAGGAAAGAAACAACAACTGATCGACATGGGAAGAAATTGGCAAAAGAATTCAGGAAATATGAAGAACCAAATGGAAAACACACCCCCAATGAGGAGCACAAGCCCCCCAGAAAGGGACACCAACCAAAATCAGGCAACCAATATGACAGAAGAGGAATTTCGTATGTGGATCATAAGAACACTCACCCAGCTGCAACAACAACTCAATAACCAACACAAAGAAACCACAAAAAGCATCCAGGAGATGGAAAAAGAAATAGACACAATGAAGAAAAGTGTAACAGAACTACTGGAAATGAAGAATCAATTCAAGGAAATACAAAATACAGTGGAAAGTCTCAAGAACAGGGTAGATCAAACAGAAGAAAGAATCTCAGAGCTTGAAGATAACACCCTCCAATTAAATAAATCAGTCACAGAAATAGAGCAGAGAAACAACAGAAAAGAGCAAAGCCTACAAGAGCTGTGTGATTATGTGAAGAAACCTAATGTGAGGGTCATAGGCTTACCATGAGGGAAAGAAGACAACACTCAAGGGTTGGACAAGCTGTTTGAAGATGTTCAAGAAGCTCAGAGGACCCCTGGGAGATTCAACGCAAACAGGAAGACGTCACGACATGCAGTCATCAGACTGACCAAAATATCAACTAAAGGGGCCCTTCTAAGAGCTGTAAGACAAAAGAAGCAAGTAACATACAAGGCAAAGAAAATTTGAATAACATCAGACTTCTCTAATGAGACTTTACAAGCAAGGAGAGACTGGGGCCCCATTCTCACTCTTTTGAAACAAAACAATGCCCAGCCTAGAATATTATTCCCTGCAAAACTAAGCTTCGTATATGAAGGAGAAATAAAAACATTCTCAGACAAGCAAAGGCTCAGAGAATTCACCAAGACAAGACCAGCCCTACAAAAGTACTTAAAAGAGCATTACGCATGGAACACTCATAATAATAACCACGAATATAAAAACAACCAAAACCCAAAGATTATTAAAGGCCAGATATTACAATGGCTCAAGCAAACCAGAAATCATAGCAACAACATCCAACCCAACAGAATGATCAGTAATCTACCTTACCTATCAGTTCTCTCAATAAATGTGAATGGCTTAAACTCTCCACTCAAGAGACATAGGCTGGCTGAATGGATAAGAAAATACAGGCCAAGTATATGCTGTCTTCAGGAAACACATCTAACCTGCAAGGATGCATATAGACTAAAAATAAAAGGGTGGAGATCAATATTCCATGCAAATAGAAGCCAAAAGAATGCTGGTGTGGCAGTTCTAATTTCAGACGATTTAGTTTTTAAACCAACAAAAGTAGTGAAAGACAAAGAGGTCATTATATAATGTGAAGGGCCCACACTTCAACAAGAAGAGATAACAATTTTAAATATATATGCACCCAACTTAGGTGCACCGGATTCAAAATCAAACTTTACTGGATCTAAGCAAAATGGATTCATAGCAACTCCATAATCGCCGGAGATTTTCAACACCCCACTGACGGCACGAGACAGATCCTCCAAACAGAAAATTATAAAGAAATAATGGAACTTAAACAAACTCTAGAACAAGTGGGTATGACTGACATTTACAGAACATTCTACCCAAAATCCACTGAATATATGTTCTTCTCATCAGCTCACGGGACATTCTCTAAGATTGACCATATCCTAGGACACAAAGAAAATCTCAAGAAATTTAAAAAAATAGAAATCATACCATGTACCTTCTCAGATCACAGTGGAATAAAACTAGAAATCAACCCTAACAAAAACTCACATTTCTACACAAAAACGTGAGATTAAACAACCTCCTACTAAATGATTAGCTTCATAAATGAAGAAATCAAGACGGAAATAAAAAAATTCTATGAAGAAAACGACAATGGAGAGACAAGTTATCAACTCCTCTGGGACACCAGCTAAAGCAGTTCTGAGAGGAAAGTTTATCTCCATAAAT